TCTCTCTCTCTCTCTCTCTCTCTTTCTTTCTTTCTTTCTCTCTCCAAACACAATGTTTTCTATGTTTGAAATCCAATTTATAATTTGATCATAATTGACAAAAATATGTGATCACCATGGACCATTTTAATAATCAGTTCAAAATGATCATAATCTAGAACCTAAATTCTAGAACAATAAACACTCGCCCCTCACTCCCAGTGGTCTCTAAACCACTGCTATTGATAAATATAGTGAAAAATTTAAATTTAATTTATTTAAAAATTCAGAGAATGTAATTAATATAGGCTATTTTGCGGCATAATTAATTGTACTAGATCAATGGTGACGGGCAGTGGGCCCACTCGGTTGGGGCCCCACACGTTGACCTCCTGGTGTAGCGTTTGTTAATTTAATTAAATTTATTTTATTAAATTAATTATAAGACTGTAATAATTAATTGATTGTAATAATAAAAATGTAATTAAATTTTAATTTAAAACGTGTTGTTGAAATTTTATTTTCGCTAATGATTTACACAATTAATTGAATATTAAATAACATTATTTCGAAATAAGAGAAATTTATTTCAAAAATAAAAATATTCATAAAAATGTGATGTTTTTTCTGTATATAATATATATTTGATGTATAATTGATGTCAAATTATATAAACAAAAATAACTCAAAAAACTAATAATAATAATAAGAGAAAAACAAAGGGACAGAAAAAACGGGCAAAAAATGATGAAAAAACAAATATATTTAAAAAATCTAATCCAAAATCTAATGGCTTTTAAATAATAAATTATTTTTGTGTTTTAAACTTAAATTAAGTCTCAGTTATTAATAATTTAATTTACATGTGATTTGGTTTTTTTCAGTTATGTTTTACACATAGTTTTCTCCAATGTTTATGAATTGTTTGTAAAACTATTAAATTAATTAATTTTATAATTTGATATTTAATTAAATTAAAAACAATAATCGCTTTGTCATCACTTGTTTCACACAATTATTACAATTCGATAATTTAATTAAATTACACTAAATCTCATGTATCTGTGGCTTCGGTTGCGGTCACGGCTTCAGTGGTAGTACTCGTGGACTCGGTATTCACTAATGTGTCCGCACTTTCACTAACATTATTATCGGCGCTATTATTCTCAGCGCTGTTTGCGTTATCATTGTTAACGATATTATCATTAAAATTACTCTTCATGTCCTCAAACATCGGCGACGGCTCAACAATCGGCTCATTATTGCTATTGTTTATGAATTCAGTCTTCGTTTCGGACACAGTATTCAACGGTTCGTCAAATGTTGGCTCAAATGTTGGCTCAAATGTTGGTTCAAATTTAGGCTCAAATTGCGGCTCATTTGTCGGCAAATCGTTGTCTTCATCGCAATTCCAGTCATTATTATCGTTATTATTATCGTTATTATTACCGTCATTATCATCATTATTATTATTACTACTATTAGTGTTAACACTGTTATCGTTATCACTATTACCGCCAAACGGATTGCCGTTGTCCTCGCGGCCAAAGTCGTCGACCATTGGCTCGTCGTGTGATTGGCTGAACTCTCTGTCCTGTCTGTTGTCATAATTGTTATTAAAACCCGGATTATAATCGTTATTATTATTGTTATTTCTGTTGTACTGTCTATTGTCTTGTCTATTATCGGGTCTGTTGTCATGTCTGTCGTCGACCTTCCATCTGGAGATCCGCTCCCGTCGTCCGCCACCACCACCACCGCCGCCGCCACCAAAGCCTCGGTTAGAGTACTGGTCCCGACCGGAGCCGCGGCTCTGTTGCTGTGGATGATTCTGCTGCTGCGGGTGTCGGTCAACAAACTGCTGCGGGTGTTGGTTGTGATGATGCCTAATGTCTGGTCTCATTTGGTGATGTCTCGGGTGGTACGGCCTCTGTTGCGGCGGCCGCTCGAAGGGCATCGCCGGCGGCGCAAACCTCTCTTGCATTGTGTGCGGCATTTGTAACAGAGCTGAACGGCCTGTCAGGGAGTGGACAGACGGACAATATTAAACAGCGATATCAACACACAATGTGTTAAGCTATTGAAATACCTGTTCCGGCCATTTGGTGCGGAATCGGCGGTCGCATCATCTGATTCCTCTCCATCGCCCGCAACTCGTAAACGGACGGCGCGAACGGATCGTCGTTGGGATGGCTGTGGGAACGGCCGTCCATATCGTGTCGACCGACGCCTCCGCCGTCCATATTTGGTCGGAAGCGGTCGCGCGTCGGCGGATAGTTTCGGTCCATGCGATCCATGGGTTGCCGACTGTCCGGGTGTAACCGCGGCGGCAGTTCGTCGTGAGGTATGGCTAGTGGTGGAAGTGTGGCGATCAGCGGCGGCCTGTCCTCCGGTTTGGACAGCGCGCGCATGTCTTCGGGTCTAATGGATGTGATGATGGAGTCAGTGGTCGCCGTGGAAGTCGATGACATCGATAAGAGTGGCGGCCGTTGAGGGCTGACTGTAAACAATAATTAGAAAAAATAATTAATTGCAGTTTGTTTTGGTGGACGTATTTTTAATAGCAGTTCCCGACTCCAGACCTTGCATTCGGTTGGGAAGTATTGGCGGCGGAGGGCCCGACAGCCACGGCAAACGATGCGATTGGGCGCCCAGAATGGGTGGCATTGGAGGCATTCCGAGCGGTGTCTGAAACGGCGGCAGCGGTGGCGGGAAGAGCGGCGGATTGGACATGAGGCTGGAGGCCGAGTCGCTCTTGCGGTCGTTGGTGTCGGTGTTCATCACCACTTCCGTGATCTCGTTCTTGAGCGGGTCGTCGGACAACAGCGACGGTATGGGCGGCGGCGCCTGTAATTGCGGGTAAGCGGTGGCGCTGATCGCCGTTGTCATCAGCGGCGTGTCGGTCGCCGACTGCATCGACATCACAGGCGTGTGACTCGTTATGTTCATCATATTCGGCGGTATTACCAGACCTATAGTGTGAGAGACACACCGCATAGTATACGGCGGTTAGCAAATGGTGGCCATTATTCACATTCACACGTGATATTACCCGTAACGCCGTAAGACGTGGCCGGGAGTGCAACCATAGACAACGGCTGCTGCATCATAGCGGCCGCTCTGGCCATCATAGCGGCCGCCTCTCTCTCCTGGTCTTCCCGTTCCTTATTCTTTCGTTTGCGGATCTCTGGAGACAAACAAAACAATTAAAACTTTGTCACCAAAAACCCAAACACACGGTTCGCATACCTTGTAGTTTCTCGGGAACAGTGTCCTCGTCAACGGTTCCGCCCTCTTCGAGCAGATCCAAGTCCACGTCGTCCGACAGTTTGGTGTACGGTATATAACTGGCGCCCTCGTCGGCCTCCCAGTAGTCTTTGTACTCTTTGCCTTTCATGCCTTTGCCCGGAGCCCAAGCCATCTGTTCGGGTGATAATTGACATTTAATATGGAATCATAAATGTTGGCCACAAATGACAACAAGTGGTCATTAAAATGCATACTTTGATAACACTTCCGTGTAGTTTGACATTTCGCAAATTGGTCAACGCTTTGGCCGCGTCCTGACGCCTATTCATGCAGACATAGGCACAGCCTCGCGATGGGATCAACTGTTAGACAAATCATTAGTTTTAAAACAATTATAGAAATATTGTGATAAAGAGTTTCAATTAACAAATTCAATGGTATATCAATAAAAACATGTCATCATTACATCGATGCTATTAATGGCGCCAAACTCGCCGAACGTGTCGCTGAGGTCGGCTTCGGAGACCAGTTTGGGAACGTGTCCTAACCATAAAGTGGTCGAACAGATGGACATATAGCCCTTGCGTTGGGTCGGCAGACCCTTCCGCCGGCGTTCCCGTTCCCGCTCTCTCTCGAAACTCTGCGGAGAACGGGGCCGATCCGAGAAGCGGGAACCCCGGGGCGAACGGCTACGGGACCGATGCGAACGACGGCTACCACCGCCGCCGTCCCGATCTCTATCGCCGCCGCGACGACTACTACGGGGCGATCGGGACCGCGATCTCTGATCGGGACGTTCTCCTCGATACCGATCCGATCTCTGGTCAGACCTGAACCGCGACCGACGGCCGCCACTACCGCCGCCGCCTCCTCCTCCGCCTCCACCACCACCTCTGGGTGACTGCGAGCCCTGACGCTCGCTATTTAAGTCCTGATTTGGCATTTGCTGATGAAATGATTGCTGATTCTGTTGCTGGTGATGATGGTTCTGCTGCTGCTGTTGGTGGTGGTGGTGCTGCTGATGATGGTATGGTTGTTGCGCTGCCGTCTCTATCATACTATTACTTAACGCATAATTCATATCATTATTGGCTCGCAATTGCGGCGCGAAATTGTTTTGCAAGTATTGGAAACTATTGTCATTTGAATTTAAATTTGATTGATTTAATTGATTGCTATCATTATTAGCGTGTTTTTCTCCCATAGAGTCATAATTCATATTTAATTCAGTGTTTTTTTGTTTGCGATTATCATCAGAGAGATTATTATTGGTATTATTATTATTGTTCGCTTCGCTATTCCCTAGCATTAGACTCGTTTGTGACAACTGTTGCTGTGACTGATAGCCGGACATAAACTGCTGGCCACTACTGCCGCCGGCGGCCGATTGTTGGCCCAAACCGGCCAATCCGTGCGCTTCCAACTCCGATATACTGAGCTTCAGGAGTTCCGTTTGCTGTATTGTCTTCTGCATGGCCTGCAACTGTTGCAACAGTTCCGGATTCGACAGCAAATTCTGGGCCATACTTATGGCCAACGGATTCGTGGAGTTATTATCGTCTCCGCCGCTGCCCCTCATCGGGGGCTCCGATTCGGTGGGCGTCTCCCCTCTCTCCTCGTCTTCTTCGTCGTCGCCGTAATCAAAGTCTAAGAGTTTTTTGTTGAATTTTATCTGATTTTGTGACTCTTGGCCCGAATCGCCCGAATTATTGCCCGGTTTTGTAAGTCCTGTCGAAACGGGGAGGCAAACGGTTAGTTCCACAGACGAAGACATGGATAAAAACACAAGTAAACGATAAGTACCTAAAGAATTGGCCAATTGTTGCAATTGTAGAATAAGTGTGGGGTCTTTAAGGGCGGGTGTGTCGCGGGATTCACCGCCGCGATTGCCATCTCGACCGCCGGCACCGCCGCCGCTATTCATGTGCGGTTGCGGTGAGCCGTCAAACTTCATGGCCGATAGGGCGGCGTTAGGGTTGGCCATATCGAGCAACGGCTGTATGGTCTCAGCGGTGAACACGTTGTTCCGCTGCCAGAGGTTCAGCACTCGCACTATCTTTGGCTACGAATACAATGAGACAATTAGTCATTAAACTTCAATATTGGACTCAAAAGCGCGAATCAAATCACTTTGTCATCCGTGGGACACGTGAGGAATAGACTCTGAAAGGTTTGGCCAAAATTGCGGGCAAATCGGGCCGCGTATACGTCTTTGTCGACACCGAACTGATGCCGGGATTGGCGTACAATCGAGTCGATCACATACAGGCCGGGGATCTTGTATTCTGGCCGACACTACCGATCATAGAAACAGACAATTAATTTATTTGTAAATAAAATCACACGAAAGAGGACTCACTTTAATGATAAACCTCTCGACCGATTGGACGATATGTTTATACATTTTGATGGCTTTCATCGACGATTTGGTGATCTGAGACATNCAATTAATTTATTTGTAAATAAAATCACACGAAAGAGGACTCACTTTAATGATAAACCTCTCGACCGATTGGACGATATGTTTATACATTTTGATGGCTTTCATCGACGATTTGGTGATCTGAGACATCTTGGCCTTAGAGATCGGCGGCCGGACCTCATAGAGCGATGACAGCTGTTTTGGGACACAAATAGACAATTAATGGTATGACAAACACAAGCGCGCAGTCGAGTGGGATCTCCACCACCACTCACTTCAGCGTTGAACTGTTGAACCACTTCTGTATCTCGTGAAGACATGTTTGCGACGATTGTGTGGACACACTCTTCGCGCGGTGTATATCTTGTGGGCGACAAACGAGTTGATCGTCTCTTTGATGGGACAACCAATTTATGAAAGACAAACACAAGTCTCGTGTATGCGAAAGAAGTGGATCCGCAAACTTCTTCGGCTATTGGCAACGGATCCCACGCGTCGATCACACAATGTCTTCGGCGATAACACCGATCACTAGACGGGAAGCGGCGCTCAAATTGGGATCAAGTGGTTGACCGTCGATGACGACCGGCCTGTGGTGTCTGCAGATGTCCTGCTGTGGTGTCTGTCAATGAGTCGATGGCTATAGCGATGGATCAGTTGCGGTGACCGACGGGAGAGCGCATCCATATCGATGTCCGCATTGTTTTTGCGGTCAATAAAAATGTAGTGAAAAATGAAATGAAAATAAAATTATTTTTTTGTAATAATTTTTTGCTTCAATTTGTTTAAGCGTTAAGAAATGGCTGACATTTGTATGCATTAGACACCAGCCGTTGTTGACCTGAAGCGTGCACTTGTTATGAGTAATGGTAACAAACAATTCGCATCGACTGTACGCCGCACTCTCTCTGCAGTGCACTGAACGGCCGCTTTGTATTGTGTTGAAGAGCCGTTCGTAGACAACGTTACGCTCGTTATTGCGCAGCGCCATCAGTGACCCCAATAATACAGTTGACTGTTTTGTCCCTTACTATTCATATGAATGGTTTGCCTCCGATTTGATCGTTACGCTATATTTGAATGGGTAGAGTGTTATAATGTTATCGCAATGCTGGGTATTGAATGAGTCGATCGCATAATCTGTTACTAAAAATGCCAAAAAAAAGGGAAACTTTATTTTCACTTTTATGATAACTTGTTTTTAATTAATCTCTACATTAAAACACGAATTAAAATTAATTAAAACTTTTAATTAACTAATAAATATCGTCATAAAGGCTACAACTAATTAATCACTTAATTATTACTTAATTAAAAGTGCAATTATATGAATAACGCCAACGAAAACGAGAGTCAAATCACATGTGTTTTTGAGAGACAAGTGATTGCATAACAAAAACACAACACAAACCAAAAACCGCATGACTTTTGCGGACAATTGTCTTCTCTGGAGATGTATTGTGTGGTAAATAGTCTTCGCCGACACTGTTATCGATCGGTCGCCCATCGATTCAGACACTGCCACAGATGGCGGACATCACTGCCACTGGTCATCGATCGTACGATAATCACTGCCGGCCGATGGATGTGCTCTTCGACATCGACGTCAAACACATCCAACAATCAACGCGTGGTTACCATCAGTAATAGTCAGACAATTAGCGCCGATAATAAGCCGAAGAAGTCGGCGGACAAAACGAAAGCCAAGTATTGTTTGTTTTGTCTGTTATTATTAACAGTTATGTAATCGCTTTGTTTGGATCAGTATTTCGGTGACGTTTGTGACCACAGATGGCCGTCGACTAACCGGCGCCGGCAAAGAGGGCGACAGTCTTCTGGACGTTGTCGTGGATAACGAGTTAGATTTGGACGGCTTTGGTATGTACTGTATATAACGCATACCACTTACCAGTAGTTGTTATCAATGATCACTAATTGTCTTATTGTGGTGACGGTGTGTGTGTGTGTCGACAACACAGGCGCCTGTGAGGGGACACTCGCCTGTTCCACGTGTCACCTGATATTCGAGAAGAAAGACTTCGACCAAATCAACAACAAAGCCACCGATGAAGAGCTCGATATGCTTGACCTGGCCTTCGGACTCTGCGATACGTGAGTGACAACTGACGCTAACTGATCCCATTGCCAGACATAGACACCAATATATAACACTATTGCACGCCATTGTTTGCCATTGAGTTGATCCCTGAATTGATATTACATTTTGCTTTGAATTAGATTTAATGTCTTGGATTAGAATTGATTATTTGTTTTGGTTGTCCAACAGGTCTCGACTCGGCTGTCAGATAATACTGACGCCATGGATGAATGGCTTAGAGATTAAAGTGCCGGACAGTGTGAACGACGTGCGAACCACTTAGCGTTTAATTGTTGTTAATTAGTATTA